CAGATGTTTTGCCTGGATTGTTCTACACGACGGTTTAGACTCGACCCTCTTTTCACTTCCACTCAGTTCCAGTTGTTTTAGTTTGTTTTGTTTTGGTGAAGTCTCCTTTTTGTTTTCATGCAGTTTTATGTTCTACGCCAGGGGTGTCAGACCCGGCCCTCCAAGACCTTTAATCTGGCCCTCGGCTGATTTTCTACTCAAATATTTGAATAATATTTTTGTTGCACCCCCGAAATGAACGACAAGACTCGCGTTCATTTTAGCTTTTGGGCAGATTTAATTTTAGATTTCGGTTCATGTGTTAACAAGTATGTTTCGTTTTTCTGCCTCTTTTTTTAACAACGAAGAAGAAAATGCTTTTCCCATAAATCTTTTAGTCTCACATTCTTAAAGTAACAGTACAGTAAATACCCTGTTATTATATAGGTACAATGAAATCATAGAACAAAGAATATTATCAATGAAGTATGTATTTATATCAAATGAAAATTATTTTAGCTATTCAAATGAAACATGAATTTAGTCTCATGAATTTTATAACAGAAATATTGCATTTTAATTTTCAGGGCACTACATTTTCTATAAAGATATTGTTAATTTACTGCGGTGTTTATCACAGCAGCGTCTCCAGCGTCTCTGTACGTGGCCCCTCCCACCAGAGCAGCACAAATGAAGACTTGTCTCTTTCCAAACGCTCTTAAAGGACGATCGTTTTGACTGTTGACCGTGACACCCTCATCAGAAAAATGTCCAACATGAGAAAAGTGGAGCCGAGTGCAGGATTTTACAACAAAAATTGACTTATTCCTATTTACATACAAGTTCATGTTAAAACTTTGTGTTGAAATTGCATTTTTCTTAAAGTTTCAGGTTGTTCATAATATTATAATATTTTGTAAAAGAAAGAGTTCATCAATTAAAAAAGATTTCTGTAATAGATTTGTGTTTCTCTGCACAAATATTTGAACTTATTGTTATTTTTGGGGTTTATATGACATGAGTTTTCTGATCCGGACCCTTTGGGATCAAAGTCGGTTGGACACGACCCCCGGACCAAAATGAGTTTGACACCCCTGTTCTACGCCATTTTGTGGAACATTCCAGGCAAAACAACAAACATCTCTCTGGAGTAGGGCTGGGCGATATGGATAAAAAAATATATCTCGATATATTTTGCTGTATCTCGATATACGATATATATCTCGATATATGTTCAAGAAAAAATAACCCCCTAAAACTGAAAACTGCTAAAACAAATCTGCCAAATTCCACAAGGTCTTTTTTTTTAAACTGAAGTGTAAGAGGTCGACAGTTCATATAGGAACATTTAAGATTACAAAAAACACTAATTACATAAATAATAATTTAACTGTAAAATAAAAGAAATAATACATATTTCCTTCTTTTCATTCATAAATAAACCAACTCAACACAAGCTCATCTTTGCATTAACTCTGTTGTCCAAACCAGAACCAGAACCATGGGTTCATTTAGCAGAAGAAGCTCAGGATGTTCCTTATTTCAATAGATCCATGTTATTATCCAGCAGTGAGGAGCTCTGAGGTTTAATCCCACAATCCACTGCAGATCAAACCCAACGTTTCCAAACACAAGTGACACTGCAACAGATTATTAATTAAAATCTTCTGCATAAATAAACTTTACATTGCTAAACTTTACAATATATAAAGCATAAGGACTGTAGAGCCACATCAGCCCGTTTGCAATAATAATGTGTTTAATGCAGTTTTGCGCACGTGTGTTTACATTTTACAGAAACGAAACTTAAGCTCATGGCTCATTTGCATAAACAGCACTTCTCCTGCAGCTCAGCTCGTTCAGCTTCTTTCGGGCTAAAGGACGCGACTCGGTGGAACATGAGGATGTGCTGCTGCTGATGGTTTTGTCTGTAAATGGTGGAAAAGGTTCATGGTGCTTGAAGCTTTTCACTGGCACCAACTTTTGGCGTTCACGGTGATAGTGACGAGTGAAGGAGACACGAGCGAACAAACTCAGGGAGGCGAGGGCGCGGAGGCGACGAGAGAGAAGGTAAACAAGCTAAGCGGTGAAATCAGAATTGAATAAAAGCATTATATCGATATATACGATATGTCAGAATTCATATCGAGTTTAAAAACTATCTCGATATATTTAAAATATCGATATATCGCCCACCCCTACTCTGGAGTTTTGATAAGACATAGGGTTTTGGTTTCTGTCATTAGACCTGGTCCTTTAATGTGTATTTGACAGAGGTACTATATATATACTTTACAAAATGGTGCAGACTTCAGATCAGCCTCACTCTCTGTCGTTTGAACTTTGACCTGAGAATGTCCACTGTAGCAACTAACAACAAAACTGTCACTTTTCTCTCTATTTCTGTCCTCATTCCATGACACTAATTTTCCTGTGCTCAGTGTAAACAAAGATTCAGATTCATGTTGTTGTAGTGACATAACTCTCATCAGCGTCTCTGTCCGTCTCTGTTCTTTTCCAGGTGGTACTATGGAAACATCAACAGAGTCAAAGCCGAGAAGCTGCTGCTGGCGTCGCAAAACAAAGACGGCTCCTTCCTGGTGCGGATCAGCGAGAGCCACAGCAACGAGTACACCATCTCAGGTCAGTGAGGACGAGTCAGCGGGGTCATGGGGGTCACTCGTGTGGCACTAGGGTCGGGCGGTATCCACATTTTGATACCGTTTGTGGGGAAGGTGGCCAAAGTGGTCAAAGGAGGAGGCAGATGACACAAAAAAAGGTGTTATTAGGTTCTTTTTTTCAGACCTAGAGTGTTATTTCATACCTGACAGTTTCGACTGCTCACTAGCGTCTTCCTCAGAGTCACGTGATGTTGCTGTGACGTGTCCGGTCGGCTGATTTAAACAGGTTTTGGCGCTGTCTTCCCACCGGTGGAGGCAGGACGACAGCGCCACCTGCAGTCCGACTTCCTCAGGATCCCAGGTGTGTGAGAGTAAAAAAGCCCCCTCGTCCCGGTTTACAGTCCTGTGGGAACGTTTCCTTATTTCGATTGCTTCTTTAATCCAGCGGCGATGTTTGTTTTCCTCTGTCCCGATGATGTTCGCTTCATCCCCGTCCATAACGTGGTTCTCTCTTTTACAATGGTCAGAAACGGCCGATTTGAGTTGTTCCTGTTCTGCTTTGTGTTTTGTTGCTCGTGTTTCGCCTTCGCTGTTTCCTTCTCGCATTCTGTTCTATGTTCCTTTTTTCGTGGACTGAACGCCCTCCCTGTTCCCCGATGTTTGTCTTATTGCAGGACATGCAGGGGATTTCGTATATGACATTACATTTATGCTCCGGTTCTATTTTGTCTTTTGGGTGGACGAGTATTTGTCTGAGTTTTCTGTACGGTTTCACTGGTGTGTTGATATTGTGTTTTCACACGTCACAGCAACATCACGTGACTCTGAGGAAGACGCTAGTGAGCAGTCGAAACTGTCAGGTATGAAATAACACTCTAGGTCTGAAAAAAAGAACCTAATAACATAGAATATTGGAAGACCAAATGAATCTCATTGGACTACAAAAAAAGGTGTCTTTACGCAGACAAAATTTATTTTAAAAACAGACTTCTGGAATTCACCAACAAAAGTAATAAGTAACTCAAAGCAAAACCACCAAACACCTGCACAGAAGTCTCCCCCTAATCGGTGACACCTGCTTTGCTTTATACTCTGCCCACAGGAAGTACTCCCCCCCAGGTGAGGATCCAGGTAACTCCCAAAGCAAAGCAAGTCTCCTTTCAAAATAAAAAATGTTTAATATAAAAGGTTGTATAGAGGATTTTCCAAGGAACGAGAAATCCAGCGACTGTTTGTCCTTTTTCAAATGTTGCGCATGCGTGAAACCCCCCCCTCCCCTACAGCTCCTACGTAGAAACGCCTCCTCCCTCCTCCTCCTTACGCCAGAAACAGGTTTGTTTACAGCCGGTGCTGCACATGACTTGTAAACAACTAACTACAGTGTTGGTTAGGCAAGACGGAGAAGTGAGGAGCGGGGGGAGCGGGTGTGCGGACATTTCGTTCGCGGACGAGAAGTGAGGAGCAGGGAGAGAGGAGAGAGGAGGTGGTGCGCGGAGATTTCGTGCCCGGAGAAGTGAGGAGCAGGGGGAAGAGTGGATCGGGCAGCAGGGACAGGAGCAGGAAAGGGGAGCAGAGAAGAGTGCGCGGAGATTCAGTGCGAATGAACTAGCTACAACACGCAGCAGCAAGCGGACTCTTTCTTTGCCTTGAAAATTACGTTTTCAGACATAGGATATCGCTTTCGTGTCCTAAAAAACGTTTGTCTCGCTCTTGGAAATAAAGTACGTTTTCATAATAAGCAGAAGTTTCCTGTCCAGGAGTAATTTGTGGACCAGTGGTTCAGTCTTTAGACCCTTTGTCTGCTTCAGTCGCGCCATCGCTGGAATGAATCTTCAAGAATCACCTTAGTTTGGCTTCGCTGCTTTTCCCCTTGTCTTCTTCTTTCAGCGACCTCAAAAACGGACTTTCTTTTGCGGCGAACTGCTCCTGGATTCTTGTCGCCATTGCAACAAACTTTGTGCGAACTGCGAGGAAGATATAGGTCAAAAAAAGCCGCTAAGAACTGTTGCGTTGGTGGAGTAAACAGCGTCTGTGCGTCTGTGGACTGTGGACTGTGTGACAGTCGTACGTAAACCACGTACCGGCGGCGCAGGCAAGTCAGTTACGCTAGAAACATAGGGAGATTGATTGACAGCCTGTCAGCTCACAGATAACGAGGCAGTGTCGTTATCTATTGGCAAATGTTTAGCCCCACCACGTCCAGAGTTGATGAATTTTTATTCTCTTTTTTTTGGTCATCATAATTACAAGGCTACTGCATCTATAATCTATCATTGACAATTTGAAACAAAAAAAACAAAAAAAAAATCCTCCATACAACCTTAAACTAACATGAATTTAAAATGAGACAAAGGCCCCACTTTGTCACACTGTTACTGTATTACCAGAATGTTTTAGTACGACTTTGGTAAACGACGAAGCCGCACCGCTGTACAGTCTGTGTGTCTGACCTGCAGACGTATAATCTCTGAAAAGTTACGCATGAACCATCTCCAATGTGATAGAAGCACAGAACAGACTCACCATCAGCAGAACACCCCTCTGTCACAGAAAGAACACTCATATTCCACTGAGTCGTGTCCTTTAGTCGGACAGAAGCCGAACCGCATCAGCAGCACAAGGAGCGAGCTGTTTTTTTATCAGCGCTTTATAGTTTATGCAAATGAGCCATGTGGTTTTAAGTTTAGTTTCTGTAAAATGTAAAATGCTTGATTACTTGATTTGCTGTAGAGAAGCAAAGACGAGGAAACCTTCACATAAGAAGTTTTGTCTGATAAAAGAAAATAAAAAGCCCAGACTTTACTTAACCGTATTAAAAATATTATTGATAGAAGACGAAGAGACACGTCCACACAGCACGATTTAGTCCTGTTAAATCCTGTTTTAGACCTGGTTTTAATCCTGGTTTAGTCCTGGTTTAGACCTGGTTTAGTCCTGGTTTAGTCCTGGTTTAGACCTGGTTTAGTCCTGGTTTAGTCCTGGTTTAGTCCTGGTCCTGGTTTAGACCTGGTTTAGACCTGGTTTAGTCCTGGTTTAGTCCTGGTTTAGACCTGGTTTTAGTCCTGGTTTAGTCCTGGTTTTAGTTCTGGTTTAGTCCTGGTTTTAGTTCTGGTTAAGTCCTGGTTTTAGACCTGATTTAGAGCTAGTTGAGACCTGGTTTAGTCCTGGTTTAGTCCTGGTTTAGACCTGGTTTAGTCCTGGTTTAGTCCTGGTTTACTCCTGGTTTAGTCCTGGTTTAGACCTGGTTTAGACCTGGTTTAGACCTGGTTTAGTCCTGGTTTACTCCTGGTTTAGTCCTGGTTTAGTCCTGGTTTACTCCTGGTTTAGTCCTGGTTTAGTCCTGGTTTAGTCCTGGTTTAGTCCTGGTTTAGACCTGGTTTAGTCCTGGTTTAGTCCTGGTTTAGACCTGGTTTAGTCCTGGTTTAGTCCTGGTTTTAGTCCTGGTTTAGTCCTGGTTTAGTCCTGGTTTTAGTCCTGGTTTAGTCCTGGTTTAGTCCTGGTTTAGACCTGGTTTAGTCCTGGTTTAGACCTGGTTTTAGACATGATTTAGTGTCCGGCAATGAGTGGAATTACAAAAAAAAAAAAAAAAAGGGGATATAGCCTGAAATGTGAAAACAGGAAAATACTGCCATGTAATCCATTTACTTCAACAAAGTAACTGTAATCCAATTACCACTCACTGAAACAGTAACTGTAACTGAATACAGTTACTCATCATTTGTACTCTGATTACTTAACTCCAGCACATGTAATCTGTTACTCCCAACACTGGTTTTAAATCATGATAGATTAAATAAAAAATACAACCACACATTAATTTGTGCTGAACAAACTAATTTACATATCAATAAATTATAATATTATATTAGCTCATTATGCACTGCTGATATTTTTAATGACGGTAATGAAACTGATACCGTTGATACTTTTTGATACCGCGGGATACTGTAGTACCTTATGTGTCACGAATAAAAAGTATGTGATACGCGTGATATAGAAATGTGAAATTATAATGACATTATACATGATATCGTGGCTCACAGCAGATCGATCTGTGTCACTCTGAGTTCTACACATGACCAGTGTGGAGCAGCTCTCAGCAAAACATCTAACATCCAAATAATGATTTAAATCTGATTGGTCGAAGTGTCACAACAGCGGAAAAGGCTGAAAAATCAAACTTTTGCTCCATCCAGCTGAGAGAAAAGCACAGACATCTTCCCTGTCCACAAATGCACAGACAAGTTCTTACCTCCTGCACGTTTTTCAGTAGTTTGTATTTGACTCACGCAGGCTGAAGTGCGTCTGCCGGCGCCTCCGTGTTTGTGTTGGTTTGTTTTGGTTTGTTTGAGCTCTTCTCCTTTGGCTTTGGCGCCTCAATGCTGCGGGTCGTTCTGCACCTGCAGGACGACGCAGGTTTAGGAAAGATTGTGCACATGTTCATAAAAACACAGCACATTTTTAGGAATGTAACAATAACCGAAATACCGTGATATCGTATCGTCAAAAGTCTCGTGGACCATCACAATATATCGAATTATAAGTTTCTTTGCTTAAATCCATGGTTGTATTGTACCAATAGCTAATAAAAGTGGGAAAGTACATATCCTATGATTCATTTCAGCCAAGACAACATGAAGAAGTATGTTTGTTTTTTTTCTTTCTTTTTTTTTTTTTTCTTCTGTTTGAGCCAGGTACAACAAAATAAAAAAAAAAGAATAACAAAAATAGTGATATGTACATGAACATATTTGGGACCTGGTGCTCAAAAGGAGTAGGATGAAGTTTAAAAAATGTATAGAGTCCAACCCCAAGTGTTTTACATAATCACGTGGTTCACTTTTTTCTTTTTCTTTTTTTTTTTTAATATCAACTTTGTAAAATATGTTTCTTACTTGAATTGTTGGGATTATGATGGAAATAATTCACACCAAAATCTTGTCAAGGTGTTTTTAAAAGCAAAAACTCGTCCTATTTACAATTATTAATCAGCCTCTCCAAAATATCAAAATAAATATCGAA